TAACAAATGACCCAACATACACATTTCCAATTATAATTGCAACTTATTACTAACGTTATATGAGTATGTTGACACATTTCGTGAATATAGTAACGGATGAACTCCATGTTTCGAAATCATGTACTATATATTATAACCAACGATTCAAAAATATTGGAGACCTAAAACTAAAGTTTATTTAAAGGGTCTTAAACTTTTAAAAAAAAGATTATATTCAGTAACTTGAATATCATGTTAATTGATGTTTGATATGAAATTTCTAGAAATAATTTTAAAAACAAACAATTAATTCTCAAAGCAAAATATGAAGAAAAACAATTCTTTTGTGATATGCTAATAAAATAAAAAAATATTTTTAATATTATAAACAAATTGAATACTAATTGACTTATAATTACACAAACACGACTCTTTAGACTACAAATTTTAAGTATTATTTTTTAAAATAAATTTCTTATATCAAATAAATTGCGACGGACGAAATACCAAAGTTGTTATGCGTGAAATAGGTAAAGTCGTTACTCGTTAGGATACGCTTTAAAGTAAAATTGCTTCTGCTTTTATGGACCATTGCTTCGATGGGCTAAAAAAACAACTTCTTTTCCGATCAAAGAAACAGTATTAAAAGAAGGAACTTTCAAATGTAGTGTCTTATGACTTATTAGACTAGGATGTAGGTTAGACACTTAGCCATGTGTGACTCCATGCCTACTTATTTACCGCTCTTTTCGTACTTTTTTAATTGTCATGTTTTTCAAAAGTCAATTTAGTGAAACATGCTTGAGGTTGAAATAATACTAATAGCCTTTATAAGATTATTATTGAAAAGTCATTTTAAGCTCAAATATAATCAAACTAGTAGAAAATGAAAATAAATATATATCACGAAGTTCAAATATGACTAAAGTTTAATCATATATATAGGCCGCCTTTAAATATTCATATTGAGGTTAGGCTTTTTTTTGCAATGCCAATCTTTTTAGGTAGGGCTATTTGTCAAGCAGATAATTTCACTTAATGATTTGACTTATTGGATATTGGTTTTGAAATTTACTAATCTGCTAGCCAATCAATAAGATATCGGCTGATTGGATAATGAATTAGCAATTATCGAATGATGTATTGGCTAACCCTTACCTTTTTTTAGAAAACCAAGACAAGTGGGCTATTAAAATATTCTAATTAATATTTTATTAATAAGAATAAATAAATACGTATATGATGCGTGTGTACGTGATTTTTTTAATCCAGGTATAGAGCTACTAGATACATTGCACGGAGATGAAATTAATATAAACAGCTTTGTCCTTTAATGAAACATTTTCTTAATTAAAAAAATTCATATTATTAAAAATAATATAAAAACACCTTGAATTGTTTGTCTTCTTCTTAGCCAAATAAAACAATTGAAACCACAAGCAAACAACATAGAAAATTTCCGAGGATTGTTTTGTTTGAAGATAATTAGACAGTGATTAATTAGTTATGCTGAAATTAATTATCTTGATATTAAATTTGATTATTTTGTATTAAATATAATATACATCACATAATTTTTTTTTAAAAGTTATTTGTTTAGAAAAATATTAACTACCTTCTTTAGTAGAAAAAAGAGTGCGAGAGATCTCAATTTTATTTTGAAATCACTAATATTTTACCCTCCTTCTAATATAAAGGATAACTAGCGTCCTGATATTACCATTACAAGGGAGTACTATTAATTAGCAATTCCGATATAACTTATCATAATATTTTATTGCATAACTATTTATGCTTGTCCAACAATCAAACAATCCCTAAAACATTGTTTGGTAGCTAGTAAACAAATAACATATTCATATAAATTTTGTATAAGTAATTATACGACGTTTGGTTTGCAATTTTAGGAACTTGTATAAGTAATATATATATATATATACACTACATGTATAAGCTATGAGAATGTTGATATGTATTAATTATCTTATGTGATGTAAAAAATAAAATAACTAATATTTATATAATTTAAGATGTATATTATTCTAACCAACTACCAAACGAGAAGTGTTAATGCTCCAACTGTTGATGATAGTGCAACGTCTCATACACAAGCCATGTACCTACAGTATTAAAGATTGGATTAGGAGGATAATAAGACAAGATTAGAGAAATCTAAGGGCAGTAGAATTATGATTAGTTAATTAATAATGGCGGTGTTATTAATTAGATTATTCCAATATGGAATATAAGTGTAACGTGATGATATGGAAAATATAATGAGTAGGGAAACTGCTTGTCGGGGATAAACAAATTAATTTTCCTCCTTTCATGTTCATTGTCTTTGTCACTACTAGGTCTTATCCTTAATTATTAATTAAAAACACAAAACAATTGTAATGTTCATCAGGTTCTATTGGTGGTGACTGGTGATCAATGCATAAACTTGGATTTTTGTATTGATTATATATTCACCACCACAATGTAAGCGGAGCCACCTTAGACGAAAGGTAGTCAGATGCATACCATTTTTCGATAAAATAATGTGATGTATAAAAATTAATATTATGTAAAATTAGGGTTTAAGTTTAACTTACACGATAAAAGTCATCATCTCAAAGGAAAGAGATTGCCCGGATATCACTCATTTCATTAACTTTTTCTTCAAACATCCCATCACGTATTTAGGGCTGAACATTTGGTGCGTAGACAAATCTAATTTAGGGGTCAATATTGGGTGAGATGAATCTTACTTTGATATCATGTAAAATTAGGTCATGTGTCTAATGCACATCCCAAATTAAAGTTAGCTCAAAGGGAGAAAGATGGTTCACGTTTTATAAAGAGATCATTCATCTCATTAATCACCTATATACGTGGAACTTTTTCATTCTTCAACATTCCACCTCACGCCTAGAGTTGACATCTGATGCGTGGATAAATTCAATTTAAGAGCAACACCGAGTAAGATGAATCTTACTTTAATTTAAGGATTCAAAAACTATATCAAAGGAAGGAAGATTTCCCAAATTTATAAAATTATAAATAAAAAAAATAATTTTAATTTATCTCTTTTGTCAATGGTGTAATATAACCGGAGTGCTCACAGCTTAAAACCGTGTGCCAGTTGTATTGGGATATGACAAAACTTTGTCAAAAATAAAATATATGATTAGAAAATACACACCATATAAAAGTCAACAACAATTGGATTTATTTCAGTTTCTTGGGCAGTTCACACATTTTTTTCTCTATAAAAGTTTTTTTTTTAATATAGTCTTTTTAGTTTTAAGAATATTTCGTTTTTAAGTTTCCTTTTATCTCTTTGTTAAACCTCGCTTTATACTAAGAATAGTAATATTGTATTTAATTTGAGGTATTAATTTTTTTAAAATTATTTTATCTCATTAGTTATATAGAAATAATAAAAATACTATCTCATATAAAAGATGAAATGAGATATCTTATCAATATCTCTACTTATCTCATTCTTCATATTGAACGATCCTTAATTAATTGGGGAGCAATTAAGATTTTGAAAAAAAGTAACGAATATTCTTCATTTCATTTTAATTGTTACCTCCAAATAATTCACTTTAAAATTTAAAACTCAAGTTGAAAATTGTTTCCAATCCACATGAAAAAATCCACTATTTATTTTTAAAATATTAAATCAAAAAAAATAAAGAAGCTAAAAAGAGAAATAGCATTATTATAGCAGCGATGGTAGATCAAAAGTTCCATTTTTGCATCCAGAGTTATTTACCTTGATAAATAACATTTAATTCATATCCATATTTAAATTATGGAACACGTTTTATCTTTAAACCTTAATACTCACTTCATTTTGATTTATTCGATTCTTATATTAAAAAAGTATTTTTTTTATTTGTCCATTTTAATAAATTAAGAAATATTTATTATTTTCATCAAATAATATCCTTCATTAAATACCTACATAAGCATAATTAGTAAGCTTAATATTTTTAAAGAGCGTTGTAAGTGAGTCACGCTAAATAAAATGAAAATAGTAATATTCACCTAGAAAGGGAAAAAGCGTCTTTTTTTTTTAATTCTAAACTCGAAATAATGACATTCATGTTAAAAGAAATATGTGCTTAAGTTTACACATCTTAAAGAATTTGTAGACAAATTAAACCATTTTAGTAAGAAAAAAAAAAAAAACGTATAAAATATATTGACTGTGTAAAAAAGATTTTGCAGTGCCAACGCATATATTTGAGGTTTCAGTTTTTTAAGGTAAGAAGAGGCAAAGGGCCCTAAAAGAGTGGAACCTAATTTTCTGCAAGAACAAAAAACACAACTTATTGCCCAACCACTAGCAACGTTTCATCATGAAAATTATGACATTTGAATTTTTAAAACTATTTTTAATATAAAAAATGATATTTAGAAAAAATCTTAATGTAGTTGGTTGACTATATGAATTTTAAATTTATTGATAAGGATTCAATTTCTTACCTTACAAATAGAAAATTAAGATTTTAACTTTATGTGTTTCGAATTTTATAATGACGATTTTAAGTGATAATAAATTGTGTTCTAAATTTAATAGCTATATATATATATATATAGCTATAATAATAATACAAAATCTACTTGCTTCGGCCGAACTTCACTTGCGGTCTGCAGGCTACTAGATCCACCCCTACTTATAATCGTCTCCTCTATTTCCCCTTTTCCTACCCCCAAACTAGAAAGAAGAAGAAAGATTTAGAATTTAGAGTTGTGCTTGACTATAAATACAAAAAATTTAATATTATTTTCAGAATTCAACTCAGGAAAAAGTGAAAAATATTGTGACCAAATGACCACAAGGGAGGGAAAATTATAAAGAGAAATGGAGTTTTTTTTTAAAGTAGTACTATAATTTTAATGGAAATTCAATAAGATTCTATAATTAACTTTTGTTACCATAATAGAGCTTATTTTGTCCTTTTTTGGGTTCCTTTCTTTTATATAAATCTTCACAACCCCACCACTCCTAAAAACTCCCTCCTTCTTTCCCCTCACAAATTCTTCTCAAATATTTCATTTCTCTCTATTTTCCATATTTCAAGTAATTGTTAGAGAAAAATGGAAGAAATGGCTTCTTTATGGTCTTACCAAGAGGTGAATTAAATACTTCTTCATTTTTTATGTAGGTCTCTATTGTTCAAGAATCTATAGACAAATTTCAAGAATTAATTTTCTTTAATATAATGGTGAATCATATGCTTTCTACTTACTTCTTTTGTTTAAAATTTAAAAATTTGCATCACACTTGTTCATGCCTAAAGAACTTTTTGTGTCAATTTTTCGGAAATAACTTGTCTATCTTTACAATGTAAAGATAAGGTCTGCGTAGACTCTACGGTTCCCATAATTCTCTTTTAACTTGATTCAATTTTTGCAGACAATTGATGAAATGAGACAGAAACTTGTTTACACTAGTCTTGAACTAGAAAAGATGAAAGTTCAAATGAGTGAAGAAATGATGAAGAACAAAGAGTATGTGAAGCAATTAATCCAATTCTTGAAAATGGTTTGTCAAGAAAGAGATGAAGCAAAAGATCAACTTCATAAACTACTCAACAAATTTGATAGTAATCCTCCTATTGTGATGATGAAGTCAACAAAAGCAAATTCAAGTATAACTGATCAATCCAACAGCTTGTCTGAAGCATACAATTATCAGTCACACTATTCATCCCCTGTCGAATCGTTTTTCGACACAGTTTCATCTCCTGAATTGGAATTTTCCAATAGAAACATAGCTGATTCAAATCCAGTAGCTTATGACAATTGTGTTACTCAATTGTCCCCAAAAGTTGACAAGGCCTCATTGGTTATTGAAAGTTTTGTTAAGGGGAAAACTTTGCCTCAACAAGGGAAACTTTTGCAGTCTGTTCTTGAAGCAGGGCCACTTCTACAAACACTTTTAGTTTCAGGACAACTTCCTCAATGGCGAAATCCTCCTCAGCTTACGCCATTTAATATTCCATCAATTTCCTTTAAAGGGTGTGTATCTGATGTCTCAAATCAGAATCTTGGTGCAAGTTTGAGCTATCCTGCTTCAACATCTCAACCTTATTTTGACATGTCATGTGGATCTTCACAAATGGTGTCTACATCTATGTTAAATTTTGCTAATTCTGATTCTGGTTCCTGTTTGGAAAATCAGAGGTTGACATCTTTTGGTCCAAATATGAACAGTTTTGTCTGCCTGGGAAAGAGACAAAGGTTGCATTAATTAAGACAAGTTGAAATTTATGTTGCTCGGACTCTTTAATAATCTAGAGGGGTGCATGTCGGATTCTCTAAAAGTAGTGTCTTTTTGGAGGATGTGACACGGGTGCAGTAACATTTTTGGAGAGTCTGAGCAAGATAGGTGGAAAGATGGATGCCTATATTTCAAAATTTTGTACAAAGCATTTTTTCCGGGCGTTGTAAATGGAACATATTGATTGAGTTTGACAGCATTAGCTTTTGATGAATTTCATATCTCCTTTGGCTTTTCCCTTAAAGTTTTCTTTACATTATTCAATGAACAGTAATAATATGAATTTTGAATTTGGATTATGGTTCTTGATATTGATATGTTACTCAAAAGAGTTATAACTTTGTCCATAAGTGTGAAAAAAGAGCAAAACCCTCCATTTGGACTCTTGTAATGTAGACTGACTTATCATTTTTTAAAACTGTTCTGACAGCAAAATGTTGGATTATACTATTTATCCAGGAAGCAGCCTGCCAGAAGAAAGCATCTTGGTTGTTGCATATATAATGACAAACATAAAAAATTATCAATATCTAGAATCTTTGGTATAATGAAAAGATTAAAGATACCAAAAGGCGATAGAATTTGATCAATCCTATTTTCTGTCGTTAAGATGGAGAACTGAAGCAAGAATTCTCTTTCTTCATTGTCTGGGAAAGGTAGAAACTTTATGACCTCTACTTAAATGAACTCGTCCGAAAGTTAAATTCTTGGATTCATCAGTAACCTTGCTTGTCTATATTGATCTTACTTTGATATAACCGTCAACCATACATGTCCTCAACAGTTTTTCTAAACTTAGTATTCTCTCCAATTACTAAGGTCCTAAACTAAGTAACTTGTCTTAAAAGGCCTATCAATTCAATTCTTAGAAGTCTTTCCTGTTGAAATTCAGAATAGCATGTCTAGTCCAGACTCCACTCCAGGCATTGGACCTTTGCATTGGGATCCGCTACTGATTGTCTCAGTAGGGATAGTTTGTTTTATCTTTCTGCTATTCAGTTACTTCAAGATTATACAGACGCGTTGCTGTGGATTTCTATCTGTGCATTTCTACAGAAATCCAATTCAAAGGCATCAACTAAACGATCATATTCTTGAAGATCATGATTCACAGCTCCAAAGTCGTGGTTTAGACTCCTATATTATGCATTCACTACCAATCACTCAGTTCAAGAAGAACGACGAACAAACTACCAGACCAAATAACTCAGATTGTGCAGTTTGCTTAGGTGAATTTCAAGAAGGTGAATGGCTGAAACACTTACCTTATTGCTCTCATGTCTTTCATGTTGCATGCATTGACACTTGGTTTCAGATTCATTCAAGCTGCCCACTATGCAGATCAAATGTGTTTAGTGTCAAAATGCAGCAAGGACATTCCATTACTATGAACACATTACTGGAAACTCTGAGAAGGGAAGATTTCAATCGTGAACGATCAGTTCACAACGAGGATATCCGGTCACAGATATTACAGAATCATTCTTTCTAGAGTTGTAGAAGGAAGTCCTGACTAGTGGTTTTTTCATCTCCAATTGTGTCTAACAATTACTTGGTATGTCTCTCAATCACTACAATGTATGTACTAAGTGCTTCAGAGTTAGCTCTCTTCTGGTAGAGAGCTTCTTGAACAAGGAGGATTTGGATGGATATCATACTGTTGGATTAACAAAGACAAGCCCGCGTGCACGAGAAGATGTTGATAAGGGACTAGTAATTCTTATAAGAACATAGCTAGAAACTAAGCAGCTTCATCCTTCACTTCTCTTTCTGGTTGTCCATGAAAGTTAATAGTCGGTGATGGTACGTTTGGTTCAGCCAACGGAAGCAGATTTAACAACTTCAGAGCATAGAAGTGAAATATATGAAGAACACATTTCAGTTATTATACTTTTATCCTTCTTAGCAGAGATACTTCTGCAACAGGAACACCAATGAGGAAAAAGAAAGAATCAGAATAATAAATCAATAGAAACTAGACGCGATAATTGACCAAGTAAAACTAGGCAAATCAAACTAGAAACACAAATTACACCAAGCTAATTTAAACTGTGGTCACCTGAAGTTTATAGCTCCATTGAGGTATACGTTTTGGTTTAAGCTTATCGATTGAAACTCACATTTTTCCTTACTTGTACTGTTTGTTTCAGTTGGTTGAACATAGTAGTACTTGGAACTTGCAAAATCTCTCAAAAGATGAAATGAGATACAGAAATTAAGCTAAAAAGAGATCATTGAGCTTTTGTATCAAGAAGGTATTTATGTATAATGGGTGCTTTAGTGTGTTTTCTTTTCTGTAATTGGAATATATCTCAAAGTATAAGTTCTACAATAAAAAAATGTGAATGAAGTATGCAACAGATGAAAGTCTCTCCCTCCTTGAAAGTAATCTGTACTTACTCAACTTTCATTTCTTTCCTGGGATGGATCTTGTTTCTCCAAATTCCGTTTGATGGACGCCTTAATAGGTCCTTGTACATCAGATCCATATATGTGACCCATCTTTGTTCTTTTGGTTTCCAAATACTTCCTGTTTTCATCTGTGAACGGTGTCAAAACTGGTACCCGTCCAACGACTGCTAAACCATAACCCTTTAAACCCGTAAATTTTGCTGGATTGTTAGTCATTAGGCGCATGGTACGAACTCCTATATCCCTTAACATCTGTTGCAATCAATGAAATCTTATTCTTCCACTAATTAATAGTTAGTTACTCTAGTAGTAGAAAATAAGCACATGATCACACTAACCTGCGCGCCAATGCCATACTCACGAGCATCTGCAGCAAAGCCGAGCTCTAGATTGGCTTCAACAGTATCATGTCCCTCATCTTGCAAATTATAGGCCTGAAGCTTGTGGCCTAAGCCAATGCCTCGTCCTTCGTGGCCTCTGAGATAGATAACCAAACCCCTACCAGCTTCCTCAATCAGCTGCATTGCCAAATCCAGCTGATTACCACAATCACATCGTCGTGATCCAAAAATATCCCCTGTCAAACACTCTGAATGTACCCTTACCAACACATCTTGACCATTTCCAATATCACCCTGTTGAAGGCTTTGAAGTTTAAAGGAATTCCAGATGATAAAATTCACTAAACACTAATAGTTTATACTATCAAAGGAGAAATCTCTGACCTTTACGACAGCTATATGCTCTGTACCATCAAGCTTTGAACGGTAACAGTAAGCCTCGAATAATCCCCATCTAGTTGGTAAACGAGATACTGCAGTTCTTTCGACAAGCTTCTCCCTCTTTCTCCTATATCTGCAAGCAGTAAAACATGACATACAAATAAGAAACCTGGCCGTTGTTGCTTTCTCAAGCTTCAGTACAAATTGAAGGCTGCAATACGAAAAATATGTTAATGATTCACCTTACTAAATCAGTTATTGATACAATCGGAATCTTGTGGTCCAAGGCCAAATTTTTCAAAATGAGCATAGAGGCTATAGAACCATCATTTTTATCAACTATAGTTGAAAGAACAGAAACTGGTTGCAAGCCAGCTGATGTTACTAAATCAACCGAAGCCTCAGTATGACCAAATCTTCTTAAGACTCCACCATTCCGATACTTGAGAGGAAAAACATGGCCTGGCCTTATGAAATCTTCAGGAGTAGAAGTAGGAGAGGACAATGCCAGGACAGTTTTAGCCCTATCTGAAGCCGATACACCAGTAGATGTGCCCTTCTTAGCATCCTTTGCATAATTAAACATGGTACTTCAGTAAGCAAACATGATCACTAATACACAACAGCTTGTAAAATTGTTATATATATGGATGGTATACTTCAGCCTATCCAGTATTACATGGTGAATAATTAATACATAGCAAATTATGGTATTAGCAATACAAGAGTCATTAATACACGGAAAAAGCATGGTTGAAGACATAACTACCTAAATACACCAAATGAAAACCGTGCATAAGAAGTAATCCCAACATAACTAATCTCACTATTACTAATACACCTTATTCAGTGACTTCTAAGTACATTACAACACTTCTTGTCTATGAAAGGAAGAGAAGAATAATACTATCATATTACCACTGTGATTGTGAAGGATGGAGCAGAAGAGTCATTTTCTTTTTCAGGTGACATCAAAGGAAGATTGAGCCGCTCAAGATCCTCTTCCTTCATGCCCACAGAAATAATGCCTGAACCATGTCTCACCATAAATGCAATTGCCTCAGCACTAATAAATGATGCTGCCATGACAAGGTTTCCTTCCACTTCCCCACTTTCATCATCTACAACAATGACAAACTGACACATTTTCACAATCATAAGTTCTACCAAAATGAAAATCTACTAGTACTATATAGCTTGTAATACGAGTCATGTTGAATTGTGTGACCGTCTCATTAAACTTTAAGTTGTCAGCGAGTACATGTCTTCAACATATAGTCTCACACAAATTTATTTAAAGAATTATGTTTTCAGGTATCATAAGTGACACATTTATTTAAAAATTATTTTTTGAGGTACCATGAATGAAATACTATTAAAAGAAGAGAAAAAAATATATATTTTAGAAACAAATGCAAACCATGATAGATCGGTATGACTTCATCTTATATCCAACCGAATTGTCCTGTCCGATTAGTCAAAAATCATGTTGTACTTCATTTTATTTGAAAATCAATGTTCGATTGTGAAAATTAAAAATTCAAACTTGAAAGTTGTATTTTGAACTTGAAAAAGTTGGTTTTCAAATACGAACCTCTACTAAGTCACAATAATTAACGTACAAAATATTTAAAAGACATATAAACAAAACACAGTTAGAAAAAGCAATCTTGTTTGACGTTTAAAATCCAAACAGTGCCACAGAAATCGAGACAGAGTGAGAGTATTACAAGAAAGCACCAACCTTTCCTTGAGACAATGCATTAAGTGCCTCTCCAATTGAAGAATAGCCTTTAGTGGGACAATCAGGATCACCCTCTGTTTCACTCACAAAGAAATCAATAGTTTGAGGGGTTATTTCAGCACTCAATGTTTCAAATAAAGATCCATTCTCAAATGGAGTCTCAGCAACCCTACATGTCCAAGTATTCAAATTGGGAGAAGATAGTCTTTTTCTATAGTGTCCAATTCCAACAATATTATTATGTGAATTGCCAAAAGATTGATGATGAACATTTGAGCTAATAAAGATTCTTGGAGCTAATAGCTGATTAAACAACACACAATCCATAGATAAAATGCTGATTCAATTGTACTTTTATTTAGTGGCACATAGAAAAAATGTAGTAGGAAGTAATTTTCATTTGGAATTTTGCAAGTGAAGAAATTAAGAGTACCTCTAGTTTTATTATCGTCTTATCCAATAAAATGCTAAGCCAAAAAAAATGATTTTGAACGTGGGTGGACTTAGGACTCTTATCCAGTTGGAATGGACCCTTAGACCCCATACATAGGAAGTTGCTGATAAGTGTCATAATAGACCTCATTCTGACCGCGGACGACTAATTTAACAAGATGGTCTGCAATCGTATAGTGATCTTCTTAAAAACAGTGTTATACTTTGACATTAGCAAGTTTCTTCAGATGCTAAATCTCGTCAATAATCATGTTTAGTTTTTAATTATAGCACTTATTTTCATTGATCATTTGAACAAGATATAACGAATCCACTTCAATGGTAAAGTCTCTATATTTCAAAAGTATGCATCTACTCAAACCACATTTAGCTGCTTATTTATCTTAAGCTGCAAAGGTCAACTCATTATAATAGATACTTTTTCAACCAACTGAGTCGAACTAGTAGATTGATTTCCAAATCTCAAAAATATATAGGTGGTGTTCCAATAATCTTTTACTCATCGCATTCCCAAGCTTTCCGTATTCGACACAATAATTGCTTTTGAAATCCTTGATGTCAAGCAAAAATCAAATGCTTGAACATGAACTACATGTAGCCTAAATGCTCATGAGATAAAAGGTGTTTATACACAATATGAACATAGAGCGCGTAGTTTTCCCTAAAAGAAAATGGATAGTGATGTTGTTGGCTAGCGCAAAGGCCTCATAGCTTCTTTTAATGATTATGAGATTGAGAATTCGAGCCTCTTTCATCTCTAATGTGTTTGTCTTATTTTCCTTTGAAATCCACAATGATAGACATGAAAAGGTAAACAATTATAAGTAACACGTTGAACATATACTCCCTCAATAACACAATGATTATAACTATTTTCCCATTATCAGGAAACAATATCATTAATCATAGAAATAAAAAATCAAAGAGTGCTTGTTTTTCTTTTTATATGTATAGGACCATTATTAGATTGGTTTACAAACCTTATTGTGATAAAATGATCATATCAAATGGTAAGATAATAATGTCTATCGTTTGCAGACAACTCCACGTCCATAAATTCCGCTATTGCAATTCAAACTTGGAAGCCCTAAGTTCATCGGAGCCTTAAAAATGTCGGATTGTTCTTCATTTGCTTGAAATCTAGCTACGGAACAATCAGCATTGAAGAGTCCTGAAGCTGCAAATTTTCTGTCACCTCCCATTATTGGCATCAAAACTCCCATTTTAACTTTGCTCACGTAGTCTTTCTTATAAGTTTGGCCTAAAACACCATTCACTTCATCACTCAAAGATACAAACTTGAACCCAAGTTCAAGATGAGCAAAGCAATCATCACTCGTTATCCCATAGTTATGTACTCGTGATTCATGCTCTGTAATAGGCACAATCTTGGCTGTGATTGTCAATACATTTTCTACATCAATGACAACCTCGTTAGTATTGCTGATTCTTGTAATTGAGGTCTTACGTACAGTTTCAGATTTCCAACTCGCGCCTTCACTTTCAGGAAGAAATATTGGTTCATCGTTGAAATGAAGGGCTAGACGCTCAATGGAATCATCCCATGTTGATGTTTTTAGTGCAGCAACTGAGATTTTGTGAGTTCCATAAAGGATACCAATGGATTGTACCCAAGTAAAGTCTCTCTTCATGTTCTCGTTTCTCCTTCCGATGAAGTGTGCATTTATGTGGAATTCAGGGTCTGAAACTAGGCAAAAATCTTTGTCCTTCTTGCCATGGAAGTAAAAGGTAATTCCATCTCCACCGATGAATCGTGGATCTTGGCAAACTGCTCCAGGCTGGTCACATTCTACATCCCAAATAAAAAGAATAAGGGAAATAAATAGAGAAATTATTGCAAGAAAATTAGTAGTTATACTTACTACAAACGGGTTTGCAAGAGACACAATCGACTTGACAACTCTCGGGGCAAGAGGTAGGGCATGCATGCTGGTTAGCATAACAACTAGGGTAGTACTTGTTCTTGCACTTGACCATCTTAGGTGTGGGTGGTTTAGGAGTCGGTGTTGGATAAGCTGGAGGAGGTGGAGATGAGGATGGCACTGAAGGTGGTGGAGTTGATTCCTTAGGAGGAGATGACGGAGGAGTTTCCTCCTTGGGTGGAGATGACGGTGGAGTTTCATCCTTGGGTGGAGATGACGGTGGAGTTTCTTCTTTAGGAGGAGATGGTGGTGGAGTTTCATCCTTGGGTGGAGATGGAGGTGGAGTTTCTTCTTTAGGAGGAGATGGTGGTGGAGTTTCATCCTTGGGTGGAGATGGAGGTGGAGTTTCTTCTTTAGGAGGAGATGGTGGTGGAGTTTCATCCTTGGGTGGAGATGGAGGTGGAGTTTCTTCTTTAGGAGGAGATGGTGGTGGAGTTTCATCCTTGGGTGGAGATGGAGGTGGAGTTTCTTCTTTAGGAGGAGATGGTGGTGGAGTTTCATCCTTGGGTGGAGGAGATGGAGGTGGAGTTTCTTCTTTAGGAGGAGATGGTGGTGGAGTTTCATCCTTGGGTGGAGATGGAGGTGGAGTTTCTTCCTTAGGAGGAGATGGAGGTGGAGTTTCTTCTTTAGGAGGAGATGGTGGTGGAGTTTCTTCCTTGGGTGGAGATGGAGGTGGAGTTTCTTCCTTAGGAGGAGATGGAGGTGGAGTTTCTTCTTTAGGAGGAGATGGTGGTGGAGTTTCTTCCTTGGGTGGAGATGGAGGTGGAGTTTCTTCCTTAGGAGGAGATGGAGGTGGAGTTTCTTCTTTAGGAGGAGATGGCGGTGGAGTTTCTTCCTTAGGAGGAGAAGGCGAGTGGAGTTTCTTCCTTAGGAGGAGATGGAGGTGGAGTTTCTTCTTTAGGAGGAGATGGTGGTGGAGTTTCTTCCTTGGGTGGAGATGGAGGTGGAGTTTCTTCCTTAGGAGGAGATGGAGGTGGAGTTTCTTCTTTAGGAGGAGATGGTGGTGGAGTTTCTTCCTTGGGTGGAGATGGAGGTGGAGTTTCTTCCTTAGGAGGAGATGGAGGTGGAGTTTCTTCTTTAGGAGGAGATGGTGGTGGAGTTTCTTCCTTGGGTGGAGATGGAGGTGGAGTTTCCTCCTTGGGTGGTGGAGTTTCTTCCTTAGGAGGAGATGGCGATGGTGGAGTTTGTTCCTCGGGAGGAGATGGTGGGACTGAGCCATCAACACAAATAGGCTTGCAAGAACGACATTCGGTTATGCAGCCATTTGGACAGAATTTGGGACAGACATGAGGAAGATTTTTACATTGCTTAATCTCATCATCTGAGCAATGAGAATGGCTTGGATGATCAGCTATTCCCGGGGGAGTTGCCTCTGCCAATGCTATAAACATTAGCATGACAATCCCCAAACCCACAACAATGTGGGTTCTCAATCTAGCCATTTCACTATCTTTATATCAATTGCTTGAATGTGTCAAGCTCTTCTTTTCTAATTGTTCAACTACTTGTGTTGAATGAGTACTGATGAAATTTCCATTACTACATCCCCCATTTTATACTAGTTATTTGGGGGGATAATTATTACTTAACTAGGTTCCTTTGGAAGGTGCCTTTCACATGCTTCTTTTCCCAAATAGAAGGTTAGTAAAGTAAACTCAATATTGTCTATGTTATGTTGCTGCTTCATAAAATGAATAAAGATATGGTATCACTTGGCCATAAAGCTAGTACACTACACTTACAGAATTCTAATTATTTGTATGTGTACCTTTCCTTGAACATTGGAGTAGCTTCAAACTAATTAATTAATTAAAAGGAAGACTCAAAATGAAGAAATAAAGGTCCTCTGCATGCCAGGAGAAATCATTTTCTAAAAAAATTGTATGAAAAAATGTCAAACGTACCGTACAAATCTTGTGAGGAAAGGAATTGGTAATGTGGGTTATAGCTTGGATACATTTTTACTCAAAGCAACACTATTAAATTATCTTGTGAATAAAGGGATTAATTCACATGCGCAAAGGTTTACAACTCTTTTCGTCTATGATTTTTAAGTATAGGATGCATGCATCATACATTATAATAGTAATTCAAACTTACTTACACCTATAAGGTATAATTGTTATAACGTTCCATTTCTCTAATAGTAGCATACGAATGTTAAGTTTCTCCAATAGATATTAAGCTTAGAGTTCACTAAGTTCAGATAAACAAATTATATTTGAACATTCACCAGCAGAAAGTCTGTTGATGGACAAACGTATCAAACGCTTGATCCATGGGATGGAATATACAAGGATATTCAATCAGTTGTGATATTTCATGTGATTAGCTGATTCGCCTTTTATATTGGACATGTAATCCATCATTTTAGTACAAATATTGGAATAAAATAATTTCATGACTGATTAATATCCATAAACAAAGGCGAAATAAAATAATCCACATTTTGTTTTGAAATTATTATCCTTATCTCACCAAGTAAATGAGCCCTTAATTTAAGTTTTCATGGACTCTCATGTCTTCTTTGTCTTGTGATATTTACCCAGCTTTGATCGGCGTTGCTTGAACAAGTGCAGATAAAGTTTGAGCCATAGAAGAGGGTATAACAGAAGCAGAACCTGAAGTTAGAAATGAAAAAATGAAGTATTTTTATGACATGATACATATGCGTGCTCTTTAATTTGGCATTAGTAACATCTATGCCTTCCAACTTTGGATTTGCATAAATAGGCACTTAAACTTGTATAAAGTTGAACAAGCAAATACATGTGTCCTACTTGTATTATGCCACGTAGGATGATTATGTCTACTTGTTCAACTTTATACAAGCTTAAGTGTCTATCTGTGCTCACCTAAAGTTAGAGGACATAAATATCAGCCAAGTTAAAAAGCTCATTTATGTCTATAACAAAACAACATTCTATTTATATGCAAGTAGGATCTCTCTCTCAAGGGCGGATTTAGTACCAAAATTACTATACACGTGAACCCATGGTATTACTGTCAAACTATGTATTTAGTGTACATGCTTTCACATAATTAATCTAATATTATCTGTTGACACTCGTGCTACAAAAAAGGCAGAATGATGCACTTAGTTGAATGTTGTGTTAATACCCAAAGGAATTCCCACTTAATACTCTCTTTTTTCTCCTTTCTTAGTAGTGCGTCCATGTTCTAGAAATCCTAGATTTGTCTCTGCTCGCCTCTCTGGGCATTTTCCAAAGCAAGCCCGCGTCATTCATATGAATGACGCACACCAATATCAGCTAGAAACGCTGATCTACTTGCTACATTTACAGGACAATGCAAGTTGCATTTCTATATTTTAAAGTTTTAGACAGAATAAGTGCCTTATCTGATCTAAGAAACAAAGCTATATACAGAATGAGCCCCGAAATTCGTCTAAAGAAATGGAGAGAGTTGATGCAAAAGTAAAGCTGAAGGAGGTCGTCGTTATGGTGGCAAAAGCCAAAGTTATCTATCGTCATTAAAAATTGTTCGCGTATTAAAGTTCCAGCAGAAATTACTCTTTCTTTCAGGATTTCGAAACGTACCTTGACAAAGTTATAATAACTGAAAGGAAGAGTATCTGCATACAGGTTTCTCGTTTTAATGAACGGAAGTGCCTGGTACATAAGCCATACTGCATAGAAATGAAGTCGAAGATTTTCAGATTTTACACATACGGGACAAAGAGACCACAAAAAGAAATGGATGAAATAAAATACTATGAATATGATAAAATTAGTGTTAACAAAATTGTTAACTTACTTTCACCAGGTCCGACTCCAACGGGATACAGTAAAATGAAAGCAGTGTACCTAATAGGCAAAAAGATATTCAAAACCAAAAAAATTCCGAGTAATATACTCTCTCCTGAGTAACTAGAGGCATTATTTTCTGCAAGAGAATTCGAACCTGAGGTATGTGATCAAGTATGGTGGACTCCCAATGCAACTCAAAGCATAGTGTGAGTATCTGATCACCTGCATTGAGTAGCAAAACAGGATCATATAATTGTTTAAAGTTTATCATCATGCAAGATCAACGGAAGACGATCAAAAGGATGAAGTATAGACCAAAACATGGAAAAGTTGTTGCAACTCAAACAGAACATAACTAGTAAATATTTGGGCCTGAGATTAGGTTCGTAAAGCTTAGAATCACATTCTGAGTTCGTGTTTCTGTCAATGTTTCACGTTATAGTATAAGCTACTTTAGGATAGCTTTTGCCTAAAGGTGAGCTTTTGGCATTTCAATTTCAGTATACTTTTCCCTAAAAGTACCGCTTATACGTTACTGTGCACTAAAACTTTGCAAATTAATAAGGATAGAGTGGATACGGTTAGCTTTGAATCAATAATGTTTTTGTAACCAATTGGATATTACGAAACACATTAAACCACTAAGTCACCAAACCGGTACTCTATAACTTGTAGGATAGCTTTAGGAGTGAAGACTACAGCTAAAAACAACGAGCCGTTATTATCAGACGTGAAAAATGTTATAGCATTATTAAGTGTCTGGTCTAATGGGAATAGAACTTATGCAGACATGTCGAACCTTTTTAGACTGTTAAAAGACACCACAGGAATAGGAAAAAAGAGATCGGAATTTTCAGTTTTAAGTATTTTGTGGAAGTAGAAACAAAGTCATTTAACTTCCTTGCAGATGCACTGAGTTTCTAATTAGGACAATTTATATGTTTTTCATATTAGAGTAACTTATGGAAAAGGACTTGAAGATGATGGGAGTGACAGGTTTTAATTATCATCAGTTGGTTACTTTTGAGGCATTCACATTAGTTCGTTGTTGCTACTTCTTTAATGTATGTATTATTTTTCTCAAACTGCTTGGAAATGCTTTATCTAAAACCGAGGTTCTATTAGAAACAATATCTCTATCTCTACGAGGTAGGGGTAAGGTCTGCATGCATACAGTGCACTCTACCCTCCCTAAACCTCACTTGTGGGATTACACTGGGTATGTTGTTGGTTACTTCTGAGGAAAAAACAGATTTCTTGTGAAACAAAGTTGACCACTTTGTTGGATTAAGGAGATAAGCATATGAAGACGACATAGGATAATTAGTAGTACAGAGGAGAACAGAATCTTCCTGCCAAGATACAAATGGTAGAAATGATTCTGAGCATTGCCTAGAAGGAAATTCACTCGTGGTTGAGCAAAACCTATGACGTAAATTCCACATGTATCATCTTTCGGTCATGTGGCATATGCAGCGGATCAATTAAATGCAGAACTTCTCAACAATCTTACTCGCTTCAGTAACTGAATAGATGTTTTTCAATTTCAAAATAGCCTCTCAGCTAAAAAGTAAAATATCAGACAGAAAACTGAACAAAGAAAATACCTCTACACATTATAGCAAACTGTCAATCTACCTTTCTCGGCCTATGGGATAAGATTAAGTGTAGTTTCTGTTCTTATACGTATAGGAAACTATTGTTACCGAACATGTGTATGAGTAAATATAACCACTTACTGTATTTGTACAATAATATGAATCAGACAACTCACACTGTGGCCAACCTCAGTCCTGTTTTACCGTTTCTTTCCCCAACTACTGTCAATTTGGAGAAGTTAAAAAGATGCAATATCTTCAATAAATCAGGTCACATGCATTTATCTAACGGAAGGATTAACAAGCGAATTGAACAGGTTGTCTCACAAGAACATAGAACAATAAGGGAAAAACAATAAGTCAGGTCACACACATTTATCTCCAAGTACATACATTTCTCGCCTTTTTCCTTCTCATCACTACTACAAGGTTAGACTGACCTCAGATCTGCCTTGTTAGCAAGTACAATGCACAACTACAGAGTTAGTTCCACAATAGCTTGTCTAGGGGAACAAATGACGAAAGGTACCTCACTTCAAAGTCTAACTCATGATTTTTCTAATCATCATTTTTTTTCTTTGTTTTCTACTCAACCACCAATTTTCTTGGGTAAGAATTAATATGTGCATTGAGAATCGTTTCGTATAGCAAAAAATTTGGTTAAAATCTTTGCCCCATTTCATATATATCTCCCAACTGTAAATAAACGTGGTCCCGTAATACTTTAATCAATCATAATTAAATACACTCCTTATAGTCCCCTCCATGTGCTCACTTACATCAAAAGTTCATCCAGCACAATTGATTTCTTCCATTTCCAGCCATTCCTTTCAATGGGAATAAGTTCTAAAGTTATTGCAAGTAAGTTCCACAAAGATAACGGTTTACAGTTCTAAACACACGAATCAACTAAATTAAGAAGAGGGGGAGAAGGCAGGGAAAAAAGAAAATGAGAGTAACATGTAAGAAAGGCAAAGAGATGAAGAAAATTAACTCACCTCACTTAAGCTCCAAGCGGAAAACGTTATGAACACTGAAGGCGATTCCTGGAGCTACAAGAAGCATCTTTGTGTTCACTACTAAATACTAATGCTAACACAAAACAGAAATTAGCAAAAAGAAAGACTTCATTGCATTATTAAGTTCCATAAATCTTGTTATTGTCACCAATAATTAGCCCCACGACGATACTATGTAAAAACAGCAAGTACTCTATGTTGCTCGGACTCTTCAAAAATGTCACCAAGTACGAGTCAGATCCTCCAAAAGCAGTGCATTTTTGAGTATCCGACATGGGTGCAACAACGTTTTCATGGAGTCAGAGCAACATAGCATATCATATTCGAGTAGCTAATGCATAAAAGTAAGTGTGATTTGATAAGAAAGATACAAAACCTCAACAATTTGACGAACAATTGCTAGCAAAAAATGAGTTCGTCCACTCCATTGCATCAGAGGAAGCACTACCCCAGTAGGAACAATCCCTTCGTAGCCCAAAAAAGAAAGGAATTAGAACATGAGCTAGCTAGCTAGGGGCGGAGCCAAACTCAGTAACTTTGATTCAAACTTTAAATTTCTACATTGAATATGTACAAATTATTATTTTTGAAGACAATAACTAAAAAAACAATTAGTATTCCGAATTCATAAACTTCAAATTTTGGCTCCGCCTCTAGCTACCTATTGTCAAATGTAACCAATTAAAAATACTTTACCAATAGCTCCATGTATAACTTCCAAGAATGCACAACATTGCAGCAAACCTTTACCATAAAGATCACAAATTTACTCAAACATAAAAAATGAGAGATTTTTTTCTTTTTCTTAATGAGATTGAGATTAATTAAGGAAATAAATAAATAAATTGGAACTCACAAATTAGTTCACCAGCAGAAGCATAAACCCCAGTGACTGAGTTGGTGGAAATAAAATTGCTCAAAATTCTAAAAAGGGCTAATGTCCTACATTTTCATGTCATCCATCACATATAATATTGGAACATTATGAATATAATTTTTTTTTAAATTGTGAAAGGGAAGAGAAATTTACCATCCAAGAAACTGAAGAAAATTGTAAGAGAAGAGATAAAGAGTTTGCAATTTAGCCATTAGAGATAATTTGGTAATCCTATGGCATGTACCAAATTTGGTCCTCAATTTTAGCTTCAATACCAACCAATAGTACAACAAGAGGGCCCACAAAAATATCTTGATATCGAAATAATAAATAATTTTTATTCAGCATAAATTTATATTTTTCATATTATAATATTACATGAGTTATGCCTTAAAAAGGGCACATCAACAAGTTATGTAGTCTATTTTCTATAGAACTTTGGTAAAGGCAAAAGTTAAATTCAAAATTATAACATAACTTAGTTCCTACAAAACTTGTGTCGGTAGAAGCAAAACTTCAGTTTCAAAACGTATAAGTTACGTCGTAAAAGACGTAACTGAATTCCGACAAATTTTATGTTGAGTAAGACAAAAGTTCTTTATAACTATGCCTAGCAAGATTAGGTCAGAGAAATACTACATAACTTATGTCGCATAACTTAATTTCTATCCAACTTATGCCCAACAATGCAAAGTTTCTCTAAACTTATGCCTAATAAAATTAGGTCGTGGATATGGACGCTTTGATCCATAAATTTTAAGTAAATGAACGACATAGATAAAAAAAAATTAAAAAATCATTATATTTGAAGACAAAATATAAAGATCATTTGAAATTTCAATATATACTATTTATACACTTTATTTTTACTAAAATTTCTAAAAAAATAAAATTATTATTTATTGTACATTGTGCTGAGCTGTTATGTAATGTACAAAATTTCAAACTTAACTATACTAGTGGGAGTAGCATGACATGGAAATTGACCCGAGGCAACATAGATGGAGTTGCCACCACTTCTTTTTCGTTTGGTATCTTGCGTTGGAGTCCGACTAAATTTGGATTGCGCTGGAAAATTTATGGAGAGAGGGAGGTAAACTATCCCTAACAAAGGTAACTTTGTACTAAAGGAGACTCGAATTCGATATCTAATTTGATTAAGAATGACAAAGTACTTATCATTCCACCAAATCCTTGTTTGTTGGTTGCCATCACTTGTTCTTTGTTGGATGTGCTTAATTTCTTTACCATTTGGAATGTTCATTTGTTACATATGACAATACTACATCTTTACTATTATTGTGCCACCAGGACACTTGCTCCCAAGTTGTACAAATGTTAAATTCTACTATCATTATCATAATAAGTTCATAACTTTTAGCAATAAAGGTAATGGGTTTTTGGCTCTAAATGTTGTAGTGATGTAGATTGAGATTATCTTTCTTTTTTACATAAATCTACCGCTATGCCTAGGGGTAGATCAGTTGTCCCACACTTGCAATACCCCATTAGCATTAGCTCTTTCTGAAAAGGAGGTGATTCAGCTGCACTTCTTAGTACAACTATTTGTTACGACTTTATTTCAGTCTCTAGTCTTGTCTTTGGCATCCGCCTTCTTGCAGTTAAGATAACAACTTCGGACATGATCAACTCCTATAATGTAAGAGACGATGTGTACAAGGCTCTGAAACAAATTCATCACACTTGTCTGGGCTAGTCTCTCTCCCAAAATTTATATTCATTTGACACGTGTTATTTCCAAAAAAAAATGCCTTGATCAAGAAGACTAATGTACTCAGATTTCAGTGAGAGGATCATATCTCGATAGTGAATTAAATTTGTCTTTGGTGTTTTAGTGTTTGATTTAGTATTCGATTTCCAAACAATAATAATTAAAGATTTTATTAGTGGTTATTTACCTATTAAGAGCAAAAATCACTATTAATCGACTATAATAAAATTCACTTAACGAACGATAAAAGTAGAATGTCAATCGCATTTCCACCCAACACCTCATGAAAGATTTGATTACTTAGGTTACATTATCAAAAGTCTATTCTTGCACAAATATTCACATTCTATCTCTAATTGTATAAGGATATATATATATAAAAGATTATATTTTAAAATGTTAATTAAAATTTATGTAATTTAAATTTTAAAAGTTAAACCTATTACATAAATTAAGATGAAAGGGATATGCATATAGTCATAGAACCACTTACCACTTCTAGAAAATCAACAAGAAGCTAATTGAATTCTTCCTACACATTATTCAATTCTATCCACTCATATCTTTTGTCCCCTTATTATTTTTTATTGCTTTTGGTGAGTAACATCTAAATATCACTAACCACTCATGCTTATCACTTTAATGAAAAGTTGATATAACACCCTTTTTTAACCTTTTTCTCCATCGACTAAATAATCAATATTAACATGTTTTGTATAGTTAAATGGTGTCACATAAAATGAAACGGAGAAAATAATAATTTATTCATCACATTATTGGGTGGGAGGGATAGTACATAACTTTATCATTGTGACAAATTGTACCATTTATAATGAATGATGAATACTATATTTGTGTGATAAAGAAAATAGCTACGTGTTTATGTGGGAACTAAACTATTCCTCTTTGGATTATTGGTATAAAAAAAATCATAGTCTAATACACAAAGGTGATTGGAGAACATTTTCTATCTTTTTAATCATCCAATCATGGGCTCCCGTTTTGCCGTATCAAAATGAAAGTTGTGCTAATGCTAATAGTAGTGGATTACAGAGTTAAAATCACCACTAACTCTAATTGCATCCTAATCAGATCCCCAGTCTTTGGAACCTGCGGCGGAGCTAGTATGTTGATTACAAATTTGGTATAATTCAGCAATTTTGATAAATAGAAGCGAAATCAAAATTTGATAACTATGAATTTGAAATTTAGTTTTTTTACGTTGTAGAGTTTTAAACTAATAATTTATATATATTCAATGAGTTTCTTAAGCCAAATACAAAATTTAAACTACGTTATTAAATTCAAATAAATATGTAACGTATACACTAGATAAAAGATTTGCCGGATAGTGAAAGTATTTCACATTGAAACGGACTTAAAAGACAAGAAATCAAATCAAAGCATCATCAAATGGCTACAATAACAGACTTAATTCCAAAGCACTACTACTAATCCTCTTAAGAGAGGCCTAGCACCTTCTAATCATGGGATTTTTTTCTTATTTTTTTCACCACTACTAATAGTAATATACAAGTTAGAACTTAATATTTTTCTTGTAAAACCTAAAACCAACTATAACAATTTTGTTTTTGTTTTTTTTTCCAAATAAATGAACCTCCTATTAACCCGTCTTTTTCCCTCCTCAATTTAATCATCTGATATCTGAAGTTTGTTGTCTCGTCTAATTCAGAGTCACATTCCTATCGAAAGCTACTCCAATCAAAATCTTTCCAAAGTGAGTCTAGGGAATAATCCCATAGGGGTGAAATAGACCCCATAATTGGTTTATTCATTTTTTCTTCATTTTCTTCTAATAATTCAATATCTTTCCAAATTTCATCCATAGAGTAAACTTTCATACTTTTTCCATGTTGTTCTTGATCACTAGATTTCTTTTCTCCTTCAACTTGCAAGAGCTTGATTCCACCCGTATCGTAGAAGTTTCTTTCATTTTCTTCGTGAGTGATAGAAGAAGAAGAAGATGATGAAGATGGAGAAATAGAAGACTTTTTCCTCTGTTCTTGAGCTTTCTTCCTCATATGGGTTCTCCAGTAATTCTTAATTTCGTTATCAGTACGCCCTGGTATTTTTCGGGCAATTCTTGACCATCTAATATAAAAAAAAAAGAAGTAACATCATATATATGGAATTAAAGAGAAAAAATCATCAAAAAGTCCAACCTGAAGTATAACAAAGAAAATAAATAATCTTCGTGTTTGTTGTTGAATATAACAAAATTTCAACTTAAAAGTATAACTATCGCGCTTGTTGCTAACGGGGATCCCTATTCCAAAATCAAGGAAATTGTAACTAATAATCAAAAGTAAAATGATAAATTAGAAAGAAACAAAAAATCAAGTCTAAAGTATAGTTTGAGACGTGTAATCCACCTAAGGATATTAAAATATATTGCATAAACCACGCTAGAGCTCCTCCATGGAAAAATACAAAGAATTCAATGTTAATCTTCATCTCTTGGCACACGTGACGGATCATACTTTCTTGCCTTAGACCACTATCGAGGCTATGAGTTTTCATAGGGCAGATGATCCTTACCCGTGAAGACGATTTGCTAATATAACAATAAAAAGTACAAATAAATTGCCAGTAGATTAAAATTAAAAAGTTAGTATTTTGAAATACCTATTTCCCCATTTGGAGTGAAGTTCAAGAACAAGACGTTCTTCTTGAGGAGTCATCTTTCCATGTTTGAGATCAGGATTCAAATAATTAACCCAACGTAACCTACAACTCTTACCTGTTCTTTTCAACCCTAAACATATATAAACATAAATACATCACAAACAACTATATATATAAAAAATTAAAATAAGTAAAATTAAAAGTAATTAAAGAAGAGATTAGAAACTTAACTGTTATTTGGGATAAAAGAGAAGACTATTTTTTGTACTAATATTATACATATATACTATGATGTATTTTTTTTTTTATAATTTGTCTCCCGCCAATCACCTTAGTTTCAAACCTGAAACTTTAGCAAGAAAATCCCATCGTCGATCTCCAAATAATTTAACATAAAATAAAAGCTGCACATCTTCTTCTTCTGTCCATGGACCTCTTCTCATTATTTCTTCTTGCACCATTTTTTTTTTCTTAGCTACTACTAATAATATTTTCTCTTTTTTATGTGTGGTTCATATTAAGGCTTACTTTGATATTTATACTACGAATAATTGCCATCATGGGGAGTTTTTTTAAAAAAAAATTCTTGTGGGGTAGGGAGAATTAACCAAGAAACGCAAAAGAGGCGAATTCAGATTTTAAAATTTATCAGATTTTTTGCACTAATCTTAAACTAATTAGAAAATGATCAAGAATGTCTTTAAGGTTTAAAACTATGTGAAAATGAATAAAAATATTTTTTATTAATAGTTTGATCTAAAAGTGCTCATGTTATTATAATTTTGGTTTAAAAATCCATCTATAGTTATACTTTTTATTCAAAAATATCTCTATAGTTACTTATTTAGGACAAATTTTAAAATTCAACGGGTGAGGATGGAGCCAATAATTAACCAAGAAAGGTAAAAGAGGTGAATTTAGAATTTAAAATTTATTGTGGAATCTGAAATAATTTTAAATTAATTAATAATAATAGAGTTTAAAATCTAAATATTATGAGTTTCATTTTTTAATTTATAAGGGTTCAAAATCAATTAATCTTTACTAAATTAGTGGGTTTTCTTAAAATTTTCGCACAATATTATAATAAAAGAAGCTTTATAGCTTTAATCATATAAATATTTGCTTGGACTACCTTTTATATATCTTTAAATGTATCATCTAATTAATATTCTATTAATCAAAATAATATATGATTTATTTTTCGGCGAAAAAACTAATACTTTTTAAAATAAATTCAGTTTTGTTAAAACAATTAATATTTGAGATCGAGGAGAGTTCCTAGGCTATTTTTTTTAATGTATTAAATTAGTGGGTTTTCTTAAAATTTTCGCACAATATTATAATAAAAGAAGCTTTATAGCTTTAATCATATAAATATTTGCTTGGACTACCTTTTATATATCTTTAAATGTATCATCTAATTAATATTCTATTAATCAAAATAATATATGATTTATTTTTCGGCGAAAAAACTAATACTTTTTAAAATAAATTCAGTTTTGTTAAAACAATTAATATTTGAGATCGAGGAGAGTTCCTAGGCTATTTTTTTTAATGTATTTATTATTATTATTATTATTAATAATAATAATAATAATTTAAAAAATAAATAAATTGTGAGTCTAATATAACCAAACAAGTGGCTCAATTGTTGGAGGGAGTAATGTTGCATATGATGAAAGCCACTAACAGGAAAGACCAATATTGGTGATCATAAATGAAGATAAGACGGTCATATGTGGATGTAACTTTCATAAAATATTTGCTCTCCATTTTATATTTAATTTTTCACCGCTAAATAATAATTATTTTCTATTCAATTTTTTTTAATTGAAAAATATGATTATTTTATAAATATCGAAAAATTCTCGCTTCACATGCAACAATTTCATGTATACAGAAGAAGAAAACTATAACGAAAACATAATAACTAATAAGAGAATTCAGTGTACAGCCTAAAAGCAAGACTATGTACCACGGCAAAATAGTACAAATGATGATAGATATAAAAAACTAGAACAAGTTAACGGCTAGTATAATTACAAACACTAACAAGTCTTAAGTCTTAACACACGAAATCAAGGTAACACTCCACTATCTACTAATATTCTATCTTGATATGCGATATTCACGCCCTCTTAGCTAAGGTTATGTCCTCGATAATATGAAGTTCCGTCATATCTTGTCTCATCACCTCTCCCTAATGTTTTTCTGGCCTACCTCTACCTCTCCCTTTTACATCCAACCTGATCACACCTCCTCACTGAGGTGTTTTCGCATCTCCACTTTACTTATCCAAATTAAGCCATTACAATCTCGCTTTTGTCATCTTGTCTACCTCAGAGGCCACTCCTATCTTATTCTGAATAGCCTCATTCCTAATCTTAACTCCCTTAGTATGTCAACGCTATCTCAACATTATCATTTTCGCAATATGCATCTTTTGAACATGTGAGTTCTTAATTGGTCAGCACTTTGCTCCGTTCAACAATGTCGGTATAACCACCACTCTATAGAATTTACGTTTAAGTTTTTTGTGTTTACCACTTTATCAAATAAGACTCCAGAGGCAAGCCTCCACTTTATTCACACTACATTAATATAATGTGTGATATCATCGTCGATATCTTCACTTCCTATAGACCCGAGGTACTTGAAATTATCTTTCTTGGCGATAGCTAGGTAGTGTGTCAAGCCTCACTTCCACGCCTTCATCATGCATGACATCACTAAATTTATACTCCAAACACTCTATTTTGATCCTTCTCAATCTAAACCCCTTATCCTTCAGAGTTTGTCTTCACACTTTTGGCATATCATTAACTCCATTGTATATTTCTTCAATCAATACGATACCATCTACAAATAATATACACTAATGCACCTCATCTTAAGTACACCGCATCACTTCACTCATCACTAGAACAAATATTGTTTAATAACTCAATTACTTTTTAAAAAAAATATTTTTAATGAAAAATATTATCCTTTGTGTCTAACATAACACACCCTTGGTGTTTATCTTTTCTCAAATTGATAAATACCATCGGATAAAAACTAGACCTGCTTCGTCATTAATTTACTATGTTATGAGCTCTTGCTGGTTTAATGTCCCTTGACTTCAGCTAAGGCCATTTAGTTACTTAAATGATGAATAGGATCTATAAAAATACCCTTGTTTCCTCACTCATATTTATTTAATAGGGAAAAAGAACAAATATATCCCCGAATTATCATAAATGGTATATATGCAGATATTATCCGTCATACTTTTGAGACATTGGTGTTCCTGCCGTCCAAAAAGTAGAGCATATATACCCTTTACACTAATAGACATACACGTGTCATAATTTTATCCACCGCCCCGACATTTATTAAATATCGGATTAACGGATAAGATTGTGCCACGTGTCCTTATTTAGTCTTCCGTTAGAGTGAAGGGCATATATGCTCTAATTTTTGGACTGCAGGGGCACCAATGTCCCAAAAGTATGACGGATGGTATCTACATACCATTTATGATAGTTTGAGGATATATTTTTCCTTTTTCCCTATTTAATATGATAACAAATCAATTTTCCAGTAAAAAATATTATACATTGTAATTCCTATCACTCATCCATGTATTACTAATTTTTAAATTACAGATGATAAATTAATATTTTTACATAATCAATCTGGACATAATTTACTTTCGAATCAAACAATTTGATAATCACATAATTTTTTAGTTATGCAAATATCATGTCATATATACTCTAAGTTACAATTCTTTTTGAAAAAATTATATCCATTCAAACCTGACCAGATAAAATGAAATCAAAGGAGTAATAATTTCAAGAAGGAAAAACAAGTACTCCTTAAACCTCTTTTTTTTTTAACCAAGAACATTTTGGTATGAGAAACCAAACATGATTACGTTACAGCACATAATATTAAAAATCAATATGATAAGAGATTTTTAAAAATGGAATATGACGTCTTGTAATTAGGGATGGAGCTAGTATCTGCATATATTTTGATATATTATATTATTAAATATATTTAATTGCTAAATTCAAAATCTAATTATTATTACTAAAAATTATTATTAGAAAATTCAAAACCAATAAAATTAAAATTCTATGGGAATCCCAATAAATGAAGCATATTATTTAGCTAGTCAATTAAAAAGAGAGTTTAATACATTGTCACTTTTAAATTTATCGGTAAATTTTATTTAGACATTTAAATTACAGTATATTTCAATTGACTAATTGAACATATATATAATAAATTATCTTTATTAGACATGTAATTTCTATTTAAATTTAAAAAAACTTTTGCGTATATTTCTCAAATACATATTACATAAATGAATTAACCACTAAAAATATGCTACACCCTTTATTATACGAATTTGTCTCAATAAGTCGTAAAACTTCAGGTTTTTTCTAATCAAGAGGTTGATGTGTATAATTGAAGGTAATGACATATTCCATGTAGTTAACTTGACTACCTAAGAGACGATTGAGAATGCACGCACGCAAAAAAAAAATTCAAATTTTGAACAAAAAAATATCTAATTGGAATATTTTATGTATTCAATTCTCAATTTTCGTAATATTTAGGGAAAAATGGATGGTGGGCTCCTGACTTTAGGGGCTCTCCTTGTGGTGGGGACTTGGGCTTTCTATCACGGACTTAAGCCCAAAAAAATGAACTATATATGACGTGGATGTCACCATTTTTATATTTTATGGCCACTCACTTATAATTTTATCCTTTCCCTCCTTTTTTTCGTAAAAAAATATATTTTGCATTTTCTATGAACGGCTACCTCTTTATATATTATATTTACATATATGTAAAATTAATAATATAGTCATAAATCATAATCATACTTTTAGCTAAGTCCTTGAAGAAAGGTTTAACTTGCAAATTTTGTCTCCTAATTAATTAAATTATATAATTTAGTAATGGGGTGGATAAAACAGAGGCTTGTGCCCAAGGTATTTTGTGATAAGAACGTGTCGAGGCGTAATTATAGGTAAGTTCTTCAGATGGTGATGATTAGACCTACTTTGTAGTATGGATAGAATGTTGCCTAATCAAGAACACACATGTTCAGAAGATGAAGATCGGAGATAAGGATTCTCAAATGAATATATGAATATACTAGGAGAGATAAGAATATTAGAAATAAGGTTATACAAGAAAAAGTTGGAGTGGCCTACATGGAAAATAAGATAAGGAAAGCGAAACTGAAATATTCGGACATGTAAAGAGGGAGTTAGATGCACCAATTATAGTAAGTTATTGGAAATGTAGAGGTAGGCCAAATAAGAACTGAGGGAGGTGATTTGACATGACATGACATATCTTTAGTTTACTAAGGGCATGACTCTATATAGGAAGATATGGAAATCGAGGATAAGGTAGAAAAGTAGTAGATAATCAAGTGTTGTATAATACTTTATGTGGGGGATACATGGGGTCAGTCTTCTCTTCCCATCTTGTCCTTAGTTAGTAGTATTCGCGTTGT